ATACGTGCATACCAGAATGTAATTTACTCTTGATACAAAAATGCAGTTCGTATGTCCTAACGGGTGCTGTAAGTGAAAAGAGAGAAGAGCGTGTGCTTCTGTAATCCTGAACAGCCATGCACACAGCAACTTAAGCACAGCAGCAACGCAGTGAGATTAATAAATCAATCACAGGTAAAGTGCTTAACATAGGCCATGTAAGGGCACAACTTAAGACACTTTAGTTCCCCCTGCCTGATAAATCAGATGACTGGCTAGCCAAAACTGAGCTAGAAATACGTGCAATTCAACAGGAACAAGAATCATCTTGTTCCTGTTACTCCCATGCACTACTCTAAAGCATGCAATTACAGTAATTGCTTTAATTACATTACTGGATTATATACAGTGTAAATACACGTGAAGGGCCATTGCAAGCCAGGAAGAAGTTTCTTATTGCAGATCAATAGGAAATAATGAGTTTGTTTTCCAAATCCACTGCAAATACCTCAAACAATTTTTGTTTCATATATGAAGGTGCCTTAAAACATCAAATCTTACTACTGGAAAAAAAAACAAAACACCATATCCCTCTCAAAAAAAACCCCAAAAAACAACAAAACAGTAAAAACCTATTTTGTGAAAGTATACTTACAAGTATATTAAGCACAAGGTATATTGCTCAGAACATCCACACAGGCAGGTTTGCTTACAGTAAGCTCTGCGAGATTTGCATTTGCTGCCTTTCTGGGTTGATGGTCTCATCCTTCATGCTCAATTCCTTTCTAAGCTATTCATATTGCAAGTTTCATTTTTCCCTAAATAGGTTTTAGATCAGCTTTAATGCTCAGTAGGCTGAGCTCCTGCCCTCAGTAAACTTCATTATCAGTATGCTTCCTATGACATCTGTATAACAGCACGTGTGCATTATAGACTCATGCACACCATCAATACAAGCCACCCGATCCCAGTACACCACGGGACTTCTTTGTTCCTGCATATATTCCAAAATGCAGCAAGATGTAAATAACTGAGTTAAAACTTCAGAGAGGGAAAGGTGAGAGGCAAGCAGGATGATGGAGCGTGCCATGGGGAATTCCACAAGCAAGGGGAGTCCCTGTACAAAAGAACTTGGTCAGACACTTCATTTATGCTGATCCCAAACACCTGCATTTCCAGCTAAAGAACACACTACAAACGTAGCCCTTAGGTTAATTTCTGTGGGACAAAAATTACTTGACGTGGCCTTCAGTGCCATGCCCCACGCTCACCATTCTTCCCTCTTCAAGGGGAAAGCAGTCATTTCTATCTATCTATATGTATATATTTAAGACATTAATTTAACATGTTAAATTATAAGGTTCTACTTCTCAAGTAGAACGCTGTCCTTCTGTATCTCCCACTGGAGCAGAACAGTAACACAACTGCATCAAACTTACCCCAGCAAAATTTTTAAACACAACTTTGCTTAAGCGAGACAAATATTTTGTCATTTTCTTGACAAACTCTCTAATTCTGTATACTGACAGATCCCCAAAGCGCAACAGAAATGTAAATTGCCATAGCAATCTTTGCAGGAAAGACAGAATTACACCAGCTCACGTTACCACTTAGATGCATGCTTAATTACTGCTCGATTCTCAAATCATTTTCACTTGTGCAATGAAGCAAGTTCCTACCTAATAATAGAACAGCTGGGATGCCACAGCCGCCCAGCTAATTCAGAACACCAGTGACTAAAACCTGCATTGCTAGCTACTCCCATCAGGGGCTGTCACAACAACAGATGCTTTTTAAGCTCTGGGTTAGAGACTCTCTGCTGCTGTTACGCGTCTCTTACCTGGAGCTGAAGTTCACTCCGTGAGAACGCTTCTCCAGAAACTGAAAACGTGCTGAGAGAACATAGTAGTATTGCAAGCACTGACACTATAGGGACTAAGGAGGAGTGGTTCACTTCACTGCTATCAGTCATAAGGAGCTATTTACAATGTAGACAAAAAAAGCTTGCATAGAGTCAGGAATTGCAGGAATTTTAGTAGAGAAATGAAGCTGAATGAAAGAAGCATCACTGTGTAACCAAACATGTAAGAAAGAAGTCACTGGCTGCAAGCTGGGGACCAGGCTGTAGGCACACCAGCACCCTGAAGCCAGTGAGCCCCTCACTGGCAAACAGAGCAAAGCACATTACAGAGGACAGGTGATGGGCCACCAGGTTACTGACTCAGACCCTAAACTACATCTCAGTGTATTGCATTCAAGTATAGTTTAAAACAAACTTTTAACGTTTTGCTTACTTTCACAGCTATGTTTTATTAAGCACAAAAAAGGGTTGGTCTACAAAAATTAAATTATACTCCTCTGACTGTATCTAGTAAAGAGGAAAAACTTTAATTATGAGATTGCATTGTCAAATAAATGCAAATTCTCATATTTCATATTCCAGGTTGAAAATTCACACACAAGTCTATTATAAATTAAAATCCACATTTGAAACACTTTGGCTTCTTTGACTGTTGCTTATCACTGAAAGCTGAAGTTATGAGATGCACGGTAGACATAGAATGAATTATTAAATAAAACTTGTGAGAAGAAGGCATTTATACTACTCCCATTTAAATATCAATTAGGAAAAAAAAAACAAAACAAAGAAGGATGATGAACTGAATCATCTCTGTTTTACAGCCAATTCTCTCTAGAACTGACAGAATAACAGAGAAACCATGCTAGCACTCTAAGTTTTACTCAATATGAAATACTTGGGTTAAAAATTGTAATTTATTCACTAGCTGAAGTTTACAATCTCTTAACTTAAAGTGAATAAGGACTGCACTTATGGAAGTAAATTAAACAAAACCAAACAGGAGTACCTGCTATGCACTGCATGCTAGCTCTCTCCTAAAATGAAAATCCAGGAATCAGCTTAGAGATGGTACAAAATTGCACAGAAACAAGTTGCAAATCAATTTCTTCACAGGAATAAGGACAAGCTATGTATCCCTGCACATCTGAAATCTATCTAACCAGTTCCAAGCAGCATTTTCAGCATGCCACGCTCACAGTGGCCAGGCTGCGGCTTTGCCTGCCAATCTGAGAGAAGGCACATGGCTGACCACCCACAGGTGTGTGCACACACTTATCAAGAAGAATTGCACTTGAACATGTGAGCAGTGTTCTTGACTTAAAGAACTCTCCCAGCACTCCCAGGGAGAGAGATTACAGACACATTTCTGGCAGGCTGATGCATTCTGAGATGGTACTGAATCGAAACACAAAGGACCCGAGGGCGATATTTGAAAATATAAACACACACACACACACACACACATGTTAAGATGAACTGAGAAAAGTGACCGTTGTTAAGGAGAGGTATTTCTACACATGCCTATGTACCACATTGATTGCACATCACACTGCCACTGCATCAATTCAAACCTATTAAAATTACCATTGAATCTCTTTAGTGTGCAGGTAGCAAAGCTTTTAAATACTCATTTAGAAACACTCAGACTTTCAAAGTACCTTGTAAGCCATAAACCATCTCATATCAGTGCTATCTTTTACAAGTAAACTTGAAATAAAATGCTGCAATAACATGCAGTTTAAAGAGATTAATCTCTCTTCAAACGTGTATCTTTTTCTCTCTGCTGGAGAGCTGTATACTGCTCAGAAACAGAACTGTGGATGGTGTTACCCAAGACAAAACAAAGTGCCAGCAGTGCAGCTACTGTTGGCAGTTAACAACAATCATCATTATTTCTGTATTATTCTTAATGCAGTCATCTGTGACTACCAGCACAAGCAGCAACAGATCATGGGTGAGCATCTTGAAAGCACTAATGAATGGTTTCCAAATGCAAAGAGCATGCATTACAGCTCAAGACAGAGACCGCGCTCATTAGCAAGGAAGAGAGGGGCTCTGCTGTCCCTGAAGAAGGACCGACCCAGCCTCATTTATTTTAGCAGCCCAACAGTCCTTTACACCAGTAACCTCCATGCTCTGCAGCTGCACCCTCAGCTGGGGGCTCTTTTGCTGGGGAGCAGGTACCCCTCAACTCAAGGTTCTCAAGTCCAAAAACTGCCATTCCGTGTAATGGTTACATCTAAACTGAGGTAGCACTGGGTACCTTACACTTCTTAAGACCTAAAAACAGCTATTTGCAACAGGAGTGGGATGCTACAGGAACTCCAACTCGTGCAGACATTTCCCCATCCCCCGCAGGTCCCTAATCAAGCTGCAGTCTTCTACACCTGTGAAGGGCTACCGAGCAACATGGTGTTCTGAAAACCAAGAGGGTTCTCAGATTACTTCCACAAGGAGGAACTTGAAAAACAAGCAAATTATGGCATATCTCATGAAACAGTAGGGTTACAAAGCAGAACTGCAGCTGGTTTCCTTGTGAACAAATTCATCTCTGAATATGCTAGCTCAGTATTAATTACAGTAAGGGCAAAACCTCTTCAGACTTAGAAAATGAGTACGGCAAATACTGTGCAAACATTTGTGCCCTCCCATTGCAACCCAAACTCCAAAAAAGCATTCACAATATACTTCTCCCCTCTTAGTCTGATATTTTCTTTTATGGATGAAAGCAAAGCAGACAGGGCAAACCTTCAGAGTATATGAACTGCTAAAGTAAATAAAAGAAAGGAGGGAATTACTAATTTAATGCTCTCTTCTTTCTCTTGGGGAAAAAAAACCCATGTAATTAACTGTAATGAGATTAAACTAACTTGTTGTTATTAATTTCCCAATGCAGGGAAACTAGATCTGAGACCCCAAAGACTGTGTGTATTAACAGCATTACCAACATTTGGCTTACATCCTTCAGTTTTTACACCAATTTTAAAGGGCAAAAATTAAATACTGAGTCACAAAGTCAATCAGAAGTGTGAAAAATTAAATGCGGAGTCCCTTTGGTGGGACTATGAAACTCATCTGGAGCTGCAGACTATGAATGGGTGGAGCAAAAAGCAACAAATGCTCCCCACCACAAACAGAAGCTGAACTATTAAATCCTTACCAAAACTTTTCTCCATTACTTCTTTCTGACACATATCTTGAACGTTCACTGTACAATTCACAATGAACTCCGGAGAGGAGCAGTCATTGTTTAGCTGGAACTCCTCGCACTGGTAGCACTGTATTTGTAAACCGAAACCTGGAACAGATAGGAGTTTCACTCAGAACGATAATAATAAGGAAATAAAAATGAAATCAACACGTGCAGAAGAGGCGCTCACCGTTCCTTATTTCTTGTTACTGATCGCAGCTCAGCACGAGTTGAGCACAAACGCCTCGCAGCGCCCGGCCCCAGCGCGGGGCGGGCGGCGACCAGCAGGCGGCACAAACCCCGAGCGCAGCGCTGCCCCGCGCCCGGCTCCGGCTGCAGCCCCACCGGTGCCCTCAGCGCAACGCGCCGCAACCATCCGCGCTGCGGGCCAGCAGCCCGGCCGGGAGGTGCTTTCCAGCTCTTAGCCGCGCCGCCGGCTTTACTTAGCTACTAATTAATGACAAATGATTTAATTACTATCTTGCCACGCGCGATTACGGCTGCGGTACATCGTCCCCAACGAGGCGCTCCGCGCGGAGCTGCCGCTCCCTGGCAGCCCTCAGATCCCAGCTCCCCGCCGGGGATCGCGCCTCGCTCCGCCGCGGGACGGGGTCGGGCAGCGGGCTCCGCACAGGGGTCTCGCCTTCGGGGTGCCGGCGCGGAACCTCTTACCTGGAGCCAGGCACAGTCCGCAGAAAGTAGCGGCAAGGAGGAAGAGCCGCATCCTCCCGCAGCCGCCGGGCCGGCGGTGGGGCACGGCGGGGCATCGGCGGGAGGGACGCGCCGCGCTCGGAGCCGCTTCCCAGCCGCCGTAAAGCGGGCAGCGGCGTCTGCCCGATGCCGCTCCGCCCGGCCCCGCCGGAGTTGAGCGTCGAGACTGGAATAAACTCGAGGGCCGGGGGGCGGCTCCCCCTCCTCCCTCAGCACCATGTGACGCCGGCGGAGCGGGGCGGCCGGCGGAGATCCCCGCCCCGCGCACGGGAAACGGGAAAGTTCGGGGAGGGAGAGGCGGCCCCGCGGGCGCGGCGCTTCCCAGCGCCCTCTGGCAGGCGTCGCCCTCTCCCCGAAAAGGAACCGCGGCCTGAGAGACGGGGGGCCGCCCGCCGCCTCCTCCGCAGGCGCGCACCTGGGCGCGAAGGCGGAGGGAGAAAGAGAAGGGGCGTCGGCGGCCGCCGCTGGGAGCCGCCCCGGCTGAGGCGGCGCGAGCGGCCGGAGCCGTTGGAGCCGCAGGGGGCGAGCGCGAAGGCGGCCGTTGGCGGCGCGAGGCGCGCGCTGAGGGGCGCGAGCGGCGGCCGTTGGTGGGACGCGCTCCCGCAGCCCCGCGTGCACAGGAGGAGGTTTATTCAAGAAAATCGGTGAAAATCTCTTCAAAGTCGACGCGAGTTTACAGCGGAATGACTTAGAACAAATTGCACGAAGTATTAACGCAGACGATACAGTGTCGTTTCGTAGATTAACAGGTGCTGGAGAAACCGCGGGGTCAGAAATAGCCCAAATATATCTGGTTCACAGGTCGCTGTACAAAAAGCAGTTATAAATACTTCACATCTCGAAAAAATACACCGAACCTTTGAAATAGACTTTCCCTCACGTAGAAACAGCCTCTGTAGAAAAACAAAACCCGCAAAACAGGCGCCCGGCTGAGCGGCGCTGGCTCGTGCCCACCGCTCCTCACGCGTCACCACCACCAACTATTGCAGAGCTGACGGTTTAATGAGGACAAAACGGGGACAGAAGACAGCACAAGATTCGGGAACGGATGGGGAGCGATGATGGCAGGAGGTGGAGAGCAGCGCAGTGCTCCGACCCCGTCCTTCCCAGCCTGCACGTGAGCTGAGCACTCCGCGCCAGCAGCAGCACCGCCCCGTTATTCGTGTGCTCGCCATGCTGAAAGTAAACACCTTCTGCAATAGCACACCTGTGGCGACACTGTAGCCGAAATGCACCTTTCCCCAGAGCGCTTGCATGGAATTGCACTAAAAATAAAAAATATATTTTGCAAAAGGTGTCTGCAAAGTTCCTTACACATGATTCGCTAGGCTCAGGTTTATGGACACACAGTGTTTCTACATAGTTTTAAGACCAGAATAAGTATAAATCTTTAAAAAAAAAATCTACTAACTTTTCTGGTTAATATTAACATCAATTTAAGTCAGTAATCTGCCATTACGGGAGCATAGCACCAACGTAATATTTATTGCTGTCATCTCTCCCTACAAATATATCTTTCCAAAATATTTACACCTATACAAATATTCATAAAAGTGCAAAATTAAGACTTTTCTCTGTGTAGTCACTTGTGTGGAGCACTGAGTCTCCTGTACTGAGACAAATGCGGTGCTGCCTTCCTTATTGCTGCGTCACGAAGACCAAAGCTGCGAACAGCCTGCCGTGGGCACAGTGACACGGGCTGAGTTCTGCTCCTACTCCGCACTCACTGCCCGCTCGCAGCTCCGTAAGTGCTCCCTTTGCAGCCGGCTGAAAGCGCCCTCACACGTCGTTAGAGCCTTGGCTGGCACAAGAGGAGAAGCTGTCGTACAGAGAATCGCTCAGGGACTCCAAATTGTCCACGTCCTGCCTTTCGGAGCTGTTTAAGGAAGATGCTTCCTTCTTTCCGCTTTCTTCCTTTTGTCCTTCAGCTTTGTTCAGGCAGTTCTTCTCCTTTTCTAATAGAAGTACGTTATTGCTGTTAAATTTATTGAGAGACTCCAGGGAAATTCTAGATAATCTAGTCTGAGAATCTTCTTTTGTTTCTTCAGTTTGCTTCAGTTTCTGTAATAAGTGAGAAAAGTATTAGAAACATATTTCTTAGAAAAGAAAGTTGTTCTACTACACCGTTAATTACCATCTTTCCAAAGTTCAAAGGGTTAGAAGAAATAGATTATTAGATACTTAAATCTCCATTGTAATTAAATGGAACATTAATGCCCGTTTCAGGATAAATCACAGCTTCAAAGCTATGATTGTCTCATAGCTTCTGCTGAGGACTCCAAGAGACTCCAAATACAAAACAGTGCTACTAACATTAAAGTACATATCCTAGATTTGTATGTGTTAAGCATCTTCAGCATCTTCACAGTAATTTACATCTTCTCCTCTAAGAATACTTTGGGGGTTATGTTTAAACGGGTATTTGTCTAAGAAGAATTTGGAGTCTGCCAAAAAAAAAAAAAAAAAAAAAAAAAAAAAAAAA